CCCCCCCCCCCCCCCCTCCCACACCAAAAAAAAATTTTTTCTACATGACCGTACATGAGAACTGTCTGAAAGTGAGCGACCATTTTGATTGTAGGGGCCACATGTAGGTGTAGACTAAGTTGCCAAAGTTTCAGATTCACAGCTTTTTTAGGTCTCAAGATAAAACTCGGCATAGAAGCACACACAGGTAAATGCACACAAAGAAAACTCCTCGGCAACATGCGTTTTTCCGTTGCACAGGTGTAAAAGAAGAAATAGAAAATGGCAACCTCAAATCGGGTTGCTTCACCCTTGGCGATTTTGATAACTGCGCAAGTTGACCTCGTTTCAATTATAAAATCATAGGTATAGATATCGTGTATGCTGGCGATCGGTATTTGACTGATAAGTATAAATGCGTACACGATGGAAATTGTGATAACGGTATTTACCGTATTCCTTAACGTCATACTATTCACCGGGAAGCATACGGCTAAGAAGCGATCAAGCGCCATCAGTGTCAAAGTCCATACAGAGAAGTATGCCGCTGAGTGCTGAAGGCATTTGTTAACTAACAAAACAATCAAAAAAATAAATAATGCATGTTTAGTGTAACAAAAAGCGACAGTTCAAACAGCAGTGTTTGTCTTGAAATCAAAAATGAGGAGAAACATAATTAGTTCAGTGTTATGCTTTTCAATCCAAGGCGTCTAATTTTTTCACCATTCTTGACTTCCAATTAATTACACGCACACACCCACATATAAACAAGCGCAAATGCGTACAGACGATTTAGGCAAAACATTGGGCTATAATGCGAGGGGCCACAATAATGTTTTTATTTCACGTCAGCAATTCTTTTCCAAAACAATATCTGACCTCCTCAGATTTGATTGTCAGGTGTGATTACACTTGTCAGGATATTCTGTGTCACTCACCCTCCCAACAAGCATTTCAAACTTGGAGCCTTAACTAAACTGGCTCTAATTTGCAGTTTCGTTTCCTGTAATGACATCTTTGCTTATTATGCGTTTCTGCAAATATGCAGTTGCAATCCAAGTGGAACGCACCAGGCTCTCCGGTGCGATCATGCGTTTTTGCACTAAACTCGCAGATCGCTATTAGC